TCCTTATGTTTAACTAATTAAGCACTACACCATGAAGGCGTATGGGTGAGTAAATGTATAGATACACATTTTCCTGACCTCAACACTAGTTGAGTGGTCAGCTTCACTCCATGGCCGCTTTACCCTCGGGGAAAGAGCCCCAGTATCCATTGGATAGGAAACTGGGTGGGCCCCAGAACCGGTCTGGACGAGATGGAGAAAAAATTCTTGACCCTACCGGGACTCGAACTCCGACCCCTCGGTGGTCCAGTCGCTGCACAGACTCCGCTGTCCCGGCTCATGTGAAGCTGACCATTCACCTTCATCTAGGTCCGAGGTTAATTAGGAATTCACGAAATTATACACCCACTCCGCCACCGTTGCTATGCATTGGTGCATAATTAAGCACAGGGACAAGTTTAGATTTCTTTACAGATCTGGAATTCTGAAGTTCAATGTTCATTTATATTGCCGTTATATTATTTTTTTTTTGCAGCCTTGTGTTTTAGAACCATAGTGTAATAAGGTGGTAGTGTATACACTTGCGGAAATAATGCTGCTATGTGATGGGGTGTTTATGGATGACAGTTTGGTTGTTTATTCTCAGCATTAAACAAATGATCCACAACCGAATCCTGATCGTTTACCCCATTTTGCTTTAATATTTATCATCACTTTATACAAGCCAGCGTCATCCAATCTCAGTTTCGCTTTAATATTTATCATCACTTTATACAAGCCAGCGTCATCCAATCTCAGTTTCAGTTTACATGATTTTTAACACTTCGAATTTGACATGTGTTTCGTTATGAAAAGTAAACCCATTTCAGTTTGCAATTCGCTGGTTATTCAATTTATTTTTTGAAGTATCTGATTATGATCGTAACATGTAAATGTAAGAAATAACCACAATGAAAATTAATATTAACCTTCTCTTAATTTGTATTTCATTTTATTAACCTTGTTAGCCGACAGTAACAAATCAAAACCTCATTGATGAGGAAATTAAGAGGAGATTGAACTCGGGTAATGCTTGCTACTATTCAGTCCAGAACCTTTTGTCTTCTCGTCTGCTGTCCAAAAACATAAAAGTCAGAATATACAAAACTATAATTTTGCCTGTGGTTCTGTGTGGGTGTGAAACTTGGTCTCTGACATTAAGGGGGGAACATAGACTGAGGGTGTTTTTAGGACAGGGTGCCGAGGAGAATATTTGGACCGAGAAGAGATGAAATGACAGGAGGTTGAACAAAACTGCATATTGAGGAGTTTTATAACTTGTACTCTTCTTCAAGTATAATTAGAATGATGAAGTCAAGGAGGATGACGTGGGCTGGGCAAGTAGCACGAATGGGGGAGACGAGGAATGCACATAGGATATTGGTGGGAAAGCCGGAAGGAAAGAGACCACTGGGAGGACCAAGGCGTAGGTGGGTGGACAATATGAAAATGGATTTTCGAGAGATAGGATGGGATGTTATGGATTGGGTTGATCTGGCTCAGGATAGGGATCAGTGGAGGGCTCTTCTGAACATGGTAATGAACCTTCGGGTTCCATAAAATGCTGGAAAGTTCTTGAGTAGCTGCAGATATGGCGGCTCCTCAAGAAGGGCTCAGCTCCATAAGTAAGTAAGTAAGTAAGTAAGTCTTGTTAGCAGTTGCTATTTAGACGGCTACCCTATACCTTCATATTTATATCAGTCTTTCTTTTACTGGTATTGACAGTTGTGGCAGGTGGATATTGCAGTGTTCGCCGGAAATACAGTAATCATTCCTTTATAATAGGTAAATAAGCCTTATTGCTTCCGCCGAGCGTTTTAATAGATCGATTGATCGATGTAACTTTCCACCCTTTGCGCAGGCATGCGAAGTGGTTACACCATAGGCAATCATGAGATTTCTCTTAGCCTGCTTTACTTGGATGGCCTTTAATTGGCGCTTGTAGGACGCACATTGGATTTTCATAGGTGAATATGTATACACGGTGGGAAGCATTGGAACATATTATATCGCAGTATTGCGCTTGTTCCAAACCGCTGTAAGAGTTGATTTGGATTCCATTTTCATTCGTAAGCGCAATACGTATGTTAGCGAGTTCTCGAAAGTACTGCATATCGAGTGCGCGTATTGTTTCAGTAAATGTGAATTTGGCTGATGGACCGGTGAAGAACCAAAAAGAACTCCATGGTTTTAGTCCGCAAGCGAACTATACCGACCGAGCGACCGCCGCTTGTCGGCGAAGTTAGTGCCAACTTTAGCGGATAGAGGGGGTCGCGTTGTCAGCGCAACGAATCTCTACGGCCGTTAATTTCGATTTTCGAGACCGGAACCGCTATTTCCTTGAAATAGCTCCTCAGTTATCCTCACGAGGCTGAGTGGAACCCGTTCCAGACCCACTACTTCTCAGAAAATCTGGTAGCGCCGGGAATCGAATCCGGACCTCTGGATCTGTAGCCAGGAACTCTTGACTATTAGACCACAGAGGCGGTCAGGTGAAGAACCAAGCAGGTAGGAAAATAACAGTTTCTAATGACCATCATGGGTTCGGCCGTGTAGTGACTGGCCGCCTGGCTGTACGACCGGAAGGGTAGAGCTTTATCTCTTCGCTGCGATGTCAAGATCAGTTCTGGAGGCCGTCCCACCAACTTCGTATTCAGTGGGTAACGAGGCTTCTGTCCCCGACTGTATACTTTCCAGGGCATGAACAGACCACGCGTCATCATCTGGTGTCAAAGTCACGAATACTTAGTAACTCTACCTCATTCGCTCTCGTGATGTGGTGCTTAATTAAGCAAAGAGACGAGTTACGCTTACCCTACTCTGTGAACACCTGATGCTTTCACGACGGCTAAAAGTCATGGAAGTCTCCTCTGGCCATCAGCTGCCGTAATACGAAGCCGAGCTCCAACATTTTGGACCGCGGCTGCCTTCATGGGGGAATACACGATTCAGCGCTTTTATATAATGGTAGATAACTTATTTTACGTCGGGTCTGACCAAAGTCGCCGCTGGCCGCAGACCTTCACAAAGTATCCTGTCGTTAAGAAATTAGTAGTTAACAATTTCCTAAGCTCACTGAGCTTAGTTAATGCTCGCATATAAGTAATAATCTCCTATAAAGTCTATTGGGATTTTGACGGGAATTTGTCAAAAACGGACGTAAAGCATACCTAGCCTTAAGAGTTTGCAAACGTTTGGAAAGAGAGCTTCAATATTTATCCTAATATACTGACCTTGGTAAGGGGACACGTGGTAGCGTAGTTGCTCGAGGCACTATTCTACGGAAGGTCGCGAGTTCCATTCCCGACGAGGTCATTGGAATTTTCAATTGACGTAATCCTTCCAGCCGCACTGTGGCCCTGGGGTCGACTCAGCCTCTCGCAGAAATGAGCACCAGAACCATCCTGGAGGGTAAAGGGCGTTTGGCTGGCGCGTAAGACTGACAGCCTCACCGCCATCTGTGAGCTAATTGTCTATAAAATGTGGGAGGTTCAGCGTCTCACAACCGTATGGACCTCCACGGCCTCTTACAAGGATAGCTTTACCTTACCTTTACTAAATTCCGTAGAATGATAAGGTGCTGCAGCTGTCTAGAAGTGTTCCCTGCTTCTCAGCGGTTGTTTAGCCTGTTCTTCGACTCCACCAAAGCGTCCTGTAACTTCACCGGTCTACACGACAGTATATCCCACACAGTCACCGCTCTGAGAACCTCAAATCCGGAAGTGTTGTACAGGCCTCCTCGGTTTCTTGCAGTTTGTCTATGTTCTTGCATGTGTTAAGAATCTGTAGGACGGTTTTAAACGTTAATAACCAGTAGCGTGGTGACGTTGTGGCTCTAGCCATGGCTGAAAAGTCGAATCGAGAAAAGCGTTTGGATAATCACCTTACAACAGTTTCGTTCCCCAAGAGTTCTGTCTTGTGCGGTGTAGTCCGGGGAAAGTCAGCCGACATTTCTGATGATTATGTCGCCTCCGTATTTCCTTGAAATAGCCCTTCATTTATCCTGACGAAGCTGAGTGGACCCCGTTCCACTCCGGCGGGCGCTCGGTCGGTATAGTTCGCTTGCGGACTACAGGCCACGGAGTTTGTTTTGTTTTGTACTAGGTAAAATATGTGAGCACGCCGGTCACGGTAGCCGAGCGGTCTAAGGCATGTACTGTCTTCGCTCGCTTGGAAACCGGGATCGTGGGTTCGAATCCCACTCAGGGCATGGATGTTTAGTTTGTGTGTGTGCGTTTTTCTGTGTTTGTGTACAGGTAGAGGCCTTGCGACGAGCTGATCACCCGCCCAAGGAGTCCTACCGAATGTATAAGATCTAGAAAAACCGAAGTGAACGGAGAAGTTCATGGAGGTAGGCCTAGGCCCACTGGGGCTGTAGTGCCAAGGAAAAAAAAGTATGTGAGCAGTTTGGTAGGAGATTGTATAAGGAATTTATGGCTGAAAGTTTTTATAAATACTTTTTTTTTTCATTTCGTCCATCCTGTTGTGTTATAATACACAATTTCTTTATTAAAACTGTCACAACACAACTATAACAAGATCAGTGCCTAGTTTGGTTTGCTACATGTTTCGGCTATTAAAAGCCATCATCAGGCAAATACATGGCTAACATATATACACCACTGAACTGCAGTACTAGTTTACATTCCCTACAGAACGGACAGTGCTTTCTAAGATGAGGCCCCGACTAAATAATTACCATTAATATTACTACATCTACATCACGAGCCTCCAAAACAGTTTATTATATATACACAAAATATAGAATACTCCAATTTGTCCGTGGGAACACAACAAAATCACAAAACCCAATGACTGACTCGATGATGTAAAGCATCACTCGAAGAAATTTATCTTGTTTTATACTATAACTTTTGTTTTCGCTGTCCCGTCTCCCAGCCGTTTAAGACTCTCTTAATGTAGGATTACTCTCTTCTGGATGTTCTAAGTGGTCTTCCCTTGATGTCCAGCCAAAATACCAGCATTTCTTGCTTCTCTGAATGTTCGTTGTTATGTCACAGGGTCATCTGCCAGCAGGATGAACAGCTGGCAGGTGGAGGACATCGCCGACAATCTTGCAGCCGACCTTGATGGCAGTCTGTCCGGGCTCGGGGTCGATCTGAGCGCAGCACCGTATAATATGAGGTGAGTCCTGAGAATGTAGCGATTTTCAAACTCTGTCAGTTCACAAACCTCATCATTTGGGAACTGAGTAGACAGAACTCCGTCAGGAATTGTATTTGGTCTCGAAGATTTATTTCTAGCGCTTTTCGACCTGGCCCATTAACCTCCATCTAAAGTTTTAAGTGGTAAAGAAAATGTAAAGTATTCCTGAGTTTAATTCAAAAACACACCATGAAGACGTATTGGGAGAGTGGAGGTATAGGTTCACCCATTCTTAAACTCGTCACAGTGGATGGCTCGAGAGGTCAGCCTCATGCACCGGCTGCTTTGCTGCTGGAGATACATCTCTTTCTACACACTAGATGGGAGCAGACCCTGGTCGGTCTGGACGTTTTCAGTCAGCAGTGACTCTTTACTAACTAAACCAGTGTTTCTCAACCGCCGGGCCTTCTTCTTATAGAAAAAAGAATTTACCGGGCCGCGGTCTGACAAAGTTTGAGAACCACTGGACTACACTATCCCGGACCTTATAATATTAGTTTGTGTTGATAATAAGAAAATCACTTTAGCCGTTGATGTTAAACCTATATACCCTTGAAAGTTATTCTTCCTCAGCGCCTGTTTTCTTGTCTGCAGGGCTGTCAGTCCTGTGTCTGTGACAGACAACCATTTCGTTACGTCGGGTTTGTAGCAGTGTGTAATTAAGATATAATTTTATACTTTTATTTGGCAAAACGGAGAAGTTTCCACATTGCACCTTCCGTATTTAGAATTTTAAAGTAATTTTTAAGTTAGAGCTGTTATTGAAATCCTCCGTTGCATAAGTATATTTAGGATTCAGAACTACATCATTTGGGAAACAAGAAAATCTAACAATCATTCAGGGATTTTTTTTTTTTTTGGTCATTTGGCGCAGAACCCTTCAAATAATCGTTTGTACACTTGCTGTTGAGCGTTATATAAATGATGTTGGCTGGTTTCTGATTTTTTTATCGTTTTAATATTACTGAATACAAAAAACAAACTCCGTTGCTTTAGTCCGTAAGCTAACTATACCGACCAAGCGACCGCCGTTTGTCGTCGAAGTTAGTGCCAACTTTAGCGGATAGAGGGTGTCGCGTGTTCAGTGCAACGAATCCCGACGGCCTTCAATCTCGGTTTTCTAGACCGCAGCCGCTGTTTCCTTGAAATAACTCCTCAATAATCCTCAAGAGGCTGAGTGGACCCCGTTCCAGACCCACTACTTCTAAAAAAAATCTAGTAGCGCCGGAGATCGAAGCCGGGACCTCTCAATCTGTAGCCAGGAATTCTGACCACTAGACCACAGAGGCGATCACACGCTGAATGCCGTGTCTCAGAAATTGGATTAGTTTCTGCCCCCAGTTGGAAAGATGGCCAATTACCTGCTCACCGAATTCGACAGACCATGAGACTCAGCTGAGTACGAGTAGATACTTCCCCACGTGTTCTCAGGGCGAAAGCAGGCCCATTTTCTGAAACGCGTTCCGTTTGGAGTAGTTGGTTGATGAATTAGTCCAGAATCCCAGCAGTACTGGTTGCAACATACAGTTTAAAAACGCCTTAGAATTCGATCATACAAAAGTAGATCTTGTTATGGGAGGTCCTGCTCTTCAGTAGTTCTCCGTTATTTATCGAAACGTCGTAGTTCAAGTGTAGAACATTGTCTCATAATTCAGTAATTTCATTTATAATTGCCAGAATATGTTGATTTCTTTTCAATGGTAGAAACAATTCTTACAGAAATTGTTTTCAACATATCACTTAACAGGAACGGCCAAGAATCTTTGTTTGCTAAGAACTGTAATTTCAGTGATAAATAATTACTTCATTAAACAGTCCATTGTACAAGGTCGTGGGCAAACGTGATCTTCTATATGTATATAGAATTAAATGTACATCTCTGCTCGAAAAACTGACTGCACGCGTTTCACTTACTGCACACGGAGGAGAGATCTTGTTATTGCTTAAAAATGTGGAATACTTTACTCACTTTACTCGTTCTCGTTTTATACAGGGAGCTTGTCGTTGGCGATAACGCCTGTACCTCGAACTGTGTTCTCGGTTTTTGAAATGACACTTCTCGGCAGCACAGCCTGGAATAGAATCACCCATGGAGCTGAACCCTTCTTGAAAAGCCGCCAATTGTGCAGGACTCAAGAACTACCCAGCATTTTATTGAACCCGAAGGTTCATTACCGTGTTTACAAGAGACCTCCAGCGGTCCCTATCATGAGCCATATCTATCCAATCCATACCATCCCATTCTGTCTCTCTGAGATCCATTTTAATATTGTCCACCCACCTATGCCTTTATCTTCCCAGTGGTCTCTTTCCTTCTGGCTTTCCCACCAATGTCCTATGTGCATTTGCCCTCCCCCCATTCGTGCTACAGGCCCTGCCCATCTCATCCTCCTTGACTTGGTCATTTTTATGGTACTTGGAGAAGAGTACAAGTTATGAAGCTCCTCATTATGCAGTTTTCTCCAACCTCCTGTGACTTCATCTTTCTTTGGTCCAAATATTCTCCTCAACACCCTCAGTCTATGTTCCTCTCTTAATGTCACACAGCAAGTTTGACCCATACAAAACCACAGGCAAAATTATAGTTTTGTGTATTCTAATTTTTATGTTTTTGGGCAGCAGACAAGAAGACAAAAGGTGCTGGACCGAATGGTAGCAAGCTCGTTCCCCAGCATATGATGGATTGGGGGGGCGGGATTTCATACCCCAAACTGGCAGCAGAAATCATCGTAGCATGAGCCGGTGCATTGTCGTGAAGAAGTCGCACACCTTTTCCCAGCATTCCAGATCGCTTTCTCTTGATTTCCTCCCGTAATTTTCTCAGAAGGTTCCGGTAGTACTCGCCAGTGATGGTGACGCCCCTTTGCACGTAGTCGGTCATGATGACACCACGTTGATCCCAGAACACACTCAACATCACCTTTCCTGACGACGGCTGGGATTTGGCCTTCTTTGGATGCGGCAAGTCTGCACGTTTCCACAAAAGTTTCTTTGCCACATCCATCAGTTGCTGTTTTTTTTGAACTGGTGTCAACAATCGTGGCACCGAACGCGCAGAGACCTTTGTCATGTGTAACTCGTCATGGATGATGTTGAAAACCGACCTGTGGCTAATGCGGACCTCATGAACAATAGCTTCGATAGTTATGCGCCTATCGGATAGGGTCAAAGCTTCCACCTGACCACTGTGTCATATGATGGTACACCTTCCTGATACAGAGCGGTCATCTGGTCATGGATCTCCCTGGCAGACTTCCCTTGCAAATGCAGGAACCGTATCACAGCGCGAGTCTCCAGTTTCTCAACCGACGTCGCCATTTTGTTTCTGCCCCTTCTGGTGGCTCCCTCTGTCCACTTGGCGCGGGAAAATTTGACTGTTCGACAAGCTCAGGAAATGGCCTATCTCCTATATAGAACGATATTTTGGAATTATGATTTTCTCATGGTGATAATTAAAACATTGTGACTTCCGATCGTACTTAGTTTTACCTGGAATGGAATAAAATTGTGACTAATGGACCGCGTGGAAGTGGAAGCAAGTGATAGTGGCCTATTTTAAAGAAATTAATCCAACATGTACCTAAAGGGAGTGCTGAAAACAAAACGAAAATGTCGTAGTGAGAATAGCTGTGCTTCGGGCCGAAACTTGAACCCTCCAGCGGGAGTGTGAACCAATTAACTGCGGCATTCTGTCAGTCCGGTTTGAGTTTAGCTTCCCTGTTGTACAGGTGTAACTAGCTCTCTGACTGTCTATCTGGCCATCTGTCTTATTTGCCTATCTCTTCTGTCTGTTTAATCTGTCTGCCTAATTTATGCATCAGTGTGAATCTAATCTGTCGAACGTTGTGAGCAAAGCGTTTCCTGGGATGCAGATAATTTGTACAGATTTTCTAAATCCATATTAACTATAAAAATTATGAAAATTACGTGCTTAAGAGACAGAAAGTAACAGGAGAATGGAAGAAAATTCATAACGAGGAGTTTGAAATACAGTATTACTATGTAGACCTATCGAGGAGAATGTGATGAGCTGAGCGTGTACCACGCATGAAAGTCACGAGAAATGCACACAAAATTATTAGCTGGATAGCCTGAAGAGGCCGGTCACGGTAGCCGAGCGGTCTAAGGCATGCACTGTCTTCGCTCGCTCGGAAGCCGGGATCGTGGGTTCGAATCCCACTCAGGGCATGGATGTTTGTGTGCGTTTTTCTGTGTTTGTGTACAGGTAGAGGCCTTGCGACGAGCTGATCACCCGCCTAAGGAGTCCTACCGTATGTGTAAGATCTATAAAAACCGAAGTGAACGGAGAAGTTCATGGAGGTAGGCCTAGGTCCACTGGGGCTGTAGTGCCAAGGGGGGGGGGGGAGCCTGAATGAGGAGACCACATGGAGGCTTGAGTATAGATGAGACATTAATTCCGAAGTTGACCCGTAAAGAAATTGGACGTGAGTGAGCGGACTGAATTCAATTGGTGCATGACCGGGCCCAGTGGCCAGCTTTTGTGAAAGCCAAAAAGAACCTTTGGGTTCCGTATAAGGCGAAGAATATCCTGACGAAATAGCTTTAACAGTTTTCTGTCTGACGATTGTTTTTCTCCTGAGAATGGACGAGGGAGATTGCCCTTCCTAAGCAAAGCTATTTACATTATTATTGTGGCGCCAGAAAGTTTGTTTCCATGAGCAGAAGATATGCTTACGTAACCAGCTGTTCTCCAGGTTTTGCCCTTCCTAGTTCGGGTTTCACAAGCTATTTGAATTCGACGTTTTTCTTGTGAAGTAACCTAAATGATGCCTTTCTAGGAACTTCGTATGTTTCAGCCGCATTCTTAAACTCGATAATCTTACTACGGACCGCACTTCTAGCATTTTTCAACCCTTTTGCCTCTTCCGTTTTCTTTTCCTTCCCTGAAACCACTATAGTTCTGAGCAGTTGCGATGGCGAGTTTGAAGAGCATGCGCAGTGGCAAGGGATATCACGTT